ATAATCAAATTAAAAACAACAGTATAAATATAAAACTATTAATTTAAAGTTGTTGATTATATCTATAGAAACAATATATAATTTTATTGCAAACTAACCATTTATTAAAATATTACAGGATCATGGGTTGAAATAGTTGAAATAGATGGCTTGAACAAAAGCATATACCATCGAATTTGCAACCTCAGACCTCACAACAGTTCTGTCTTTAAAGGTTTTTTTAAGTTATCGTTAAATGATTTTCCCTATGGAGAAAATGAATGGGGATTTTACTTGTGGAACCTACTTGATTATGAATGGCCGTTTGTATGTTTGACCATCAAAAAAGCAGGATAATATACAGTCAGCTGGTCCTTATAGCTGAATTTAATAGATTTTTTTTGTTTGATGTTTTTTGAAATCCGCAGTTCCTATTTACCTGATATTCCAGTACTGCTGTAACGGAGATCTCTTGAACTACCTGAAGAGCAACAGGGAACGTTTTCACAAATATCTGACGGACGCTTTCAACAGGGACAGATTCAGGGGCCTCTACCACAACTTCCAGCAGAAGAGAAACTCCAGGTTTGCATAAATGTCCACCAAGCAGAGAATTACAGCAGTGGCCTTTTTAACAAAGAAAAAAAAAACCAGTGTGGACGAGAGGGAAATGAATATATTGTGCTGAAGTGGAACCGTAAATGTAAAGGTGCACATAAATGAATAAACTGTCGTTACTGTAAATGACTGTGTGCTTCTCTCTCCTTGTTGTGCCTCCACAGTGAGTATATTGAGCCTGATTGCAACCAATACGTGCACATGACACCTGCAACCAAAGGACAGGAGAACGAGGCACTCCTCAGTCCCAGCATCAGCTCAGTGTCTACTGTTGAGGGTGGGTGGAGAATGGGAGAATCTGAATTTTTTTAAAACTAGAGATCATCAACTGTATGAATTAAACGGTGACTTTTAAGTTATCAGACTTTTTATTTATCAAAATGTCTTTATTATTATTTTATTCACTTTTTTTTTTCACAAATATCTGACGGACGCTTTCAACAGGGACAGATTCAGGGGCCTCTACCACAACTTCCAGCAGAAGAGAAACTCCAGGTTTGCATAAATGTCCACCAAGCAGAGAATTACAGCAGTGGCCTTTTTAACAAAGAAAAAAAAACCCAGTGTGGACGAGAGGGAAATGAATATATTGTGCTGAAGTGGAACCGTAAATGTAAAGGTGCACATAAATGAATAAACTGTCGTTACTGTAAATGACTGTGTGCTTCTCTCTCCTTGTTGTGCCTCCACAGTGAGTATATTGAGCCTGATTGCAACCAATACGTGCACATGACACCTGCAACCAAAGGACAGGAGAACGAGGCACTCCTCAGTCCCAGCATCAGCTCAGTGTCTACTGTTGAGGGTAGGTGGAGAATGGGAGAATCTGAATTTTTTAAAACTAGAGATCATCAACTGTATGAATTAAACGGTGACTTTTAAGTTATCAGACTTTTTATTTATCAAAATGTCTTTATTATTATTTTATTCACTTTTTTAATTAAAAAACAATCTGTTTTATTATTCATATTCACTTGGTTTCACATCTGATCATAAAACATCAATTTATAATATGTGTTATTGTATGATTGTAGAATATCTATATTCTCATTTTATTTGTTAACAAATAACTAATAATAAAAGAAAATACATATTAGAAAATAAACAATCTTTTATGTCAATTCTGTAAAGAAATGCTTGAATGTGAAGACAAACATCAAGAAGAGGAACTTCACAGTCTCACCTATGATGATCTTCTGAGTTTCTCTTTCCAAGTTGCAAAGGGCATGGAGTTCCTGTCCTCTAAAAATGTGAGCTTAACTTTCTGATCATGACACTTCTACTTCCTGCCATTCAACAGAAATAAAACTAACAGCTTTATTAACTCATTTTTACACTTTTTTTCTAATGTTATCTCTGAATACTACATGAGCATGTTATAACCCAGAGTAGCTTCTGTACACTTTGCACAGTCAAATCATTGTTAGACATATTTGGCTTCATTTCTTGATTTGTTTTCTCATATTGTTATATAGTGTAAAAAAGGCTTTAGTGAACAATTTTCTGCCTACAGTGTATCCATAGGGACTTGGCAGCCAGAAATGTTTTGGTTACACATGGCAGACAGGTGAAGATCGGTGACTTTGGCCTTGCAAGAGACATTGAACATGATTCCAACTATGTTGTAAGAGGAAATGTAGGTATTGTGTGTGCACATGTGATAGCCTTGATGTGACTGGTCTTTATTTAGCTGACTTGTAATTATAATTGTATACATGACATTTTTGCAGGTGTGTTTGCCCGTGAAGTGGATGGCTCCTGAGAGTATTTTCAAAGGGGTTTACACAATGCAGAGTGATGTCTGGGCCTATGGCATTCTGCTATGGGAAATCTTTTCTCTAGGTGTCTCTCTCTCTCTTCTCTCTCTGCTGTATACAGCTTTTAGCTTGTATTTAGCCAAGAACATTCTTATAAATCACTTTTGATTAAACATATGAACATATCTTGTACTTACTATTAGGAGTCACCCCATATCCTGGAATAACTGTGAATGACACATTCTACAGAATGATTGAAAGTGGATATCACATGGAACAACCCTATTATGCCGAAGAATCTGTGTAAGTACCTCTATATACATATAATTAGTATTTTATATATATATAGTAAAATACTGGAGAATGATATTTAAAATGTGTTTGTGTATGTTTAGTTACAAGGTAATGCGTCGCTGCTGGATGCTTGATCCTGTCGACCGGCCTTGTTTCTCCAAGCTTGTAGCTTTCATGGAAAAAGAGCTATCTGCTTTGGAAGAAAGGGTGACTTTTATGTGAAAGCTATTTTAAAAATGGGCTAAAGGTGTTGGTGGATGCACACTTACTGTGATATCTGTCGACAGCTGTATTACAATGTTGGAGGATACTGCCACAATGACATAACATACCAGAATGCACCCATGACCCCCGATGCTACATCGATTGAGAAAAAACTGAATGTCTGCCAGTCCGACTCTGAGAATTCAGATGAAAGCAAAGCTGTGGACAATCCTGGATCAGTAAGAACAGAAGCTCTTGTTTGAACATAGGAGTTTAAGCCTTGCATTAGGAAAACATAATGCATAACTTGTGCTTCCATTAATAGCTACTTACACAAAGCATTTTTAATTCCTAAGAGAAAATGTGGAAGGTACTGGAATGAATAATTTATGTGCGTATTGTACCACCAATAATGTGTTTAATATATATTTTTTATTCTATTAACAAATTTTCACTTTTTTCCACAAGTGTTTACAGCGTAATTAATAACATACAGTATTTGAATGTTGTTTTGTGCAGGAAGCTTTTTTAGGAACATATATAACATATATTATATATATATATAACAAACCTTCCCAATTTTAATTAGAATTCTAGAACGTGTACATTACCACTGTAACAGCTGAATAACCTGTTTCTGTACTCTATAATGAAGGCTTACAAGAGATGCTGTGCTTGAGAAGTACAACAGATTATAAATTATTTTATTTTTATTTTATTTTGCTGCATTTTGCAGGTGAAATTGCTCTATTTTTATAACAAAAAACGTTGTCTTTATTTTTAACTTTTCATTATATTTATTCAAACATCTTACGACATTTATGGTTTAATCATTATTCTTGAAATATTATTTATCATGTAATAAGAATAGTCTACAGTATGCTTAGTTATGCTTATGCTTAACAGGAATTGAATTTGCACATTTGTGCAGATTTTATATAAACAATGTGGTCCATAACTTACATTTCAGTGTCTTTCTAACGGTCAGCAACTCAAAATCACCTTTACTGTATAGGTTAAGCATTCTTAACTTTTTCAGTCCACTGAGACAGAGTGGGCATGCTAATTGAAAAGGAGTTAACAAACTGTAAAATGTTTTTGAAAATATTGAAAAAATATTTGGAAGGTTTAAGATGCAAATAAAACATCAATTGTGCATTTTGTGTCTTATGATTCTGTGTACTGTAACTTCATAGTATTTTATAAATAGAATAGGCCTATGTGTTTTGACTGAAGGTGTTTATATCATAGACCTACAGAGGGTGGCGCCACGGTGCATGATCCAGTGACACCAGGGGTGTAGTTCAGAAGAGGGGGTCAGAATATTTAGCATAAGACCAGGAAAACCTCTTACTCTTGGGTCGTCTTTGTCCTTATTTGTCCTTAACTTTGTTGTACAACCCATTTCAACTGTTATCAGACCTATAACATTATCTCAATATTTACATTGTCATGATATAGCATACATAGTTACAACATTAAATTTCAAAGCGAAATCTAAACTAAAACAAATTCAAATATTAACCAAAACAATAAACTGTACAGCAAACAATAAGAACAATAGCTATTGTTTAGTCTTTAATAGGCCTATTTATTTAATGTTTAATCCAAATTTAAGATATGTGTGTGTGTGTGTGTTGTGAAGCGCTTTTACTTAATTTCTCGTCCGTTTCAATCACGTTCAGTCGTTTCAATCACGTGACTTTTTCTGCTCATCATTAGCCATATTTACGCTCATTAGTAAGCTAAAGGTGGTAGATAAAAACACATGAACAGAGATAGCCTACGAAGAAAACCATTTCCAAGAAAACCAAGATCATTGGATTTGGTTCATACGAGGTCCCAGAAAACATTCTACTGGTCTCATGTTAGCACAGACCCTACTAAATCTAACACTGGCGTAGGCAGCCTATTTTAACTAGGCTATAATCCACCTCCATAGGCTACCAGCATGAGTCCATTATAAGCCTACTGGCGGACTCTTGCATTAAATATATAAACCCCAATAATTATACCTGTATTGTGTAATGAGAGTATTCATCCTCCTTACCTGCCTCATTGAGACAACTAGGCTATTTAGATGGCAACAGTTACAGTAATTGCCCCAACGGACGTTGACCTCGTCCAATATTGGCTTTTGGCATTTCCAGTAGCTACTAGCCTACAGTTTGTAGAGGACACGCACCGGAGCCATGGACATAAACGTTGTAAATGCTCTAACATACGAGGATTTTGTGAAACTATTCGGTAATGTGGTTGAGAAATGCCCCCTCATTCCGGCTGCAATATGGTCCCACCGGCCATTCAAAGATCTAGCGGACATCGAGGCTCACATAAGAAAATTCATTCACAGTCTACCAGACTCAGGTACATATTTCTGCTTTGTGTATTTACCATAATCACGTTTCCTGACGTTTTAAACACAATATTTTATTTACTGGTTAAGTACATTCAGTTAAATGGTTCAGGTAAAGAGGGCGTTTTGCGGTGTCACCCTGATTTGGCGGGTCTGGACCTCCAGAGAGGGACTCTAACACGCGAGTCTCAAGAAGAGCAGAGTCAAGCCGGTATGACCACACTGGATTCCGCAGAGAGTCTGCAAATGTACAGTCTAAACACAGACTACAAGGAGCGCTTTGGCTTTCCTTTTGTCATCTGTGCCCGTCTCAACAGCAAAGCAGACATTGTGCGCCAGCTGTCTGAACGCCTGAAGAACGACCGTGCAGTCGAAGAGGTTACAACCCTCTGTAGCCTCAGGTTACGCAATATTGTCCTATCTGACATTCAAACCAAACTGTAACTCAAGTTACCAATGCAAAACGTGTTTACTGCATCTTTCTACTTGATTGTATATTTCTTTAATAAGTAGGTAACAGACACACAAAATAAGTTGCTAGGAAATAGGCTATGCCTACAAAAGAATTGATCCATATGAAATAACATTGTTCTAAAAACGTTAACCCATTCAGTTATGAAAACGTTATTTCTCATGTCTTCTGAATGTTTTATAACGTCCAGGTTTTTAAATGTTTTAAAAAAACTTTTTTTTCTTGGTTGTGTGAACGTAATAATTACGGGTTACGTATAGCCTATTTGATCATTTTGCAAACGCGATGGGAAAATTACTTTTGATGTTCTCTGAACCCTCTGACGCTAGTAACATCCAAATGTTTCAGAAACACGTTCCATGAATGATGTATTGTTTTGTGCTAATGTTTTGAGAACGTTATTAAAGACAAGGGGCGTTGCTAAAAGGGGGACCGAGTGCATATAGGGCCCAGAGGGTGAGAGGGGCCCAGAACGATGTCCCCTGAAAGATTAACGATGAAAGATGTCCTCGACAAAGTGATTTTGAGGGGGCCCCATAGCAAGGGGCCCAGAATTCCTATATGCCACATTTTTTTGGCACCTCTAACGCAGCAAGTTAACTGCGATGCTCTGTAAATCTATAATAAAATGGAGTGATAAAAATGGCAGTACTTATGCTTTTGTAGATGTACCCATAGTGATCCTATAAAAATGCTCAAACAGCTAATGTTGCTATGGTTACCTCAGCTTTCGAGCATCTCTTTAGCAATTTAGTAACCTGTGGTTTTGTTTGAAACATAGGTTATATGCAGGCTACCTACCGCCATAATAATTAATAATGAATCATTTCAGTAGCCTAAATGAAATTATTGCATATTGTGTTGTTTTTGTCGCATCGGTTAATAAACTTTGGGTTATGATTACTATTCTTATGTGCACCAAATTAAAACAAATGACATGACGCCACACTGCACACATGCTTTTGATTTGTTTAGTAGTAGCTGCATAAATAGTATGAAATATAATTAATAATGAAATTCATGATAGAAAGGCTTTTTGACTATTCGTTGTCTATCTATAAATACGTTTTTGAAATGAAAGACGTCATGCATTTCTATTACACAAAAAGACCTTCCAAGAAATTGACTCCACAGAAGCATCGCCTCTCACACAACTGAGATCGCCCTCTACTGTCAATCTTTTAGCAGTACTGTAGAGATTTACAGGATCTGACTAACTGTCGTCAGTGTCACATGTGAGAATGAGATGTGGCACACTTATATAGTTCCACTCATCGATGGCAGGCTGATAGATTGTGTTGATGATGACACATATCTCTTTTGGTCAGTGTTTATTTCACGAGTCTTGAGGGACTGGAGGTACGTGAGTGCAGGGGTGAAGAGGGTCCCGTTAGAGTTGCCGGAGCGACACACGACTCATCCTTGAGATCTCCGGACGTGATGGAGGAATCCTGTTCGGGATCCACTCCTCTGGCTCTCCTCTTGTCCTCCTCCTTTTTCCACTTCATGCGTCGGTTTTGGAACCAGATCTTGATGTGTCTCTCTGTGAGGCTGAGGGTGAGCGCGAGCTCCACGCGGCGCGGGCGCGAGATGTACTTGTTGAAGAGAAACTCTTTCTCGAGCTCGAGCAGCTGCGCTCTGGTGTAAGCTGTCCGCGTGCGCTTGCTCTCCTCGGCTTCTACCATGTAAGGGCCTAAAACAGAATTACAGGAGTGACATTTTAGTAAGGTCATGTTTCGACACAGTCACACCATCTGCCTCTGAGGATATTACAGTTTAAAAGTTATCTGAACGTTTGGGCGGTAGGCTAGGCTTGAAGTTAAACTCATATCAACTCAAAGGTCAGAACCTCCTAACTGAATTCAGTTTGTAGTTCATATTAAAACGAATGAAAATGCTATTAACTCTAAATTACTTTAAGTAGTCTACTTTTTATTTCAGTACGTGTGATATTATTAGATTTATTGACAAGAAATGGTGTAGGCTAAGCATTTGACGGTTGTTCGGAGAATGGGCTACATAATCACTCATCTGGTGAAACTCGAAGGGTTGTTACAGTTTTCGGAAAATAGGCTAAATAATCACTCATCTGGTGAAATTTGACGTGCATTCACCGCTAGAAACACTGTCTGTTTTGTCCGACGTCTACTAATAGAGGAATTAACATTAGTCTTAAAAATGCATTTATTTAAAGTAGCTAAAAGAAATCAAGATCAAATTAATTTTCACTGTAGAATTGGTCCATAAACAAGAGACTTTGCAAGTGTCAAGTAATATTTATGTTCATCAGGTCATCATTTCAATCCCACACTCTCAGAAAAAAAAGGTACAAAAGCTGTCACTGCGGGGGGTATCTTTTCAAAAGGCACACCTTTGTACCTAAACAGTCTATATTGGTACCTTAAAGGTACATATTATACCTAAAAGGTACAAAGGTGTACCTTTTGAAAAGGTACTGCCCCAATGACAGCTTTTGCACCTTTTTTTCTGAGTGCGCAAAATAATCATATTAATTATATTTTTAAATAATAATTGTATCAAATTCTGTAGGGAATTATTTTTATAATGTTATCGCTTTTCACTTTTATTTAAATTTTTGCATCATATTTATTTCACAATAATTAATAATCGTAGCATAATAATAATAATAAATATAACGATTCATATTGTTCTCGAAATTATGTGAATATTTAGGGAAAAATCAGGCAACTAAAACTCATCAATTGTATGCAGTATAGAATTTCTAGACTATTAAAGAAACAAAAAAAAATAACTTTTTTTTTTTACTTCCTTTCTTACGGTTTTCTTCTTATGGGCGATTTTAAAAGAAAAAAAAAGTTATTTACGTGTGGCCTAAACTGTACTGAATGACCACTCAAGAAAAATGGGATGTGTAGATTACTGAATTATGGCTATTGTAACGATTTTTACCACAATAACACTTTTCATGGCCGCGTGTCAGCATTAAGATGTGGAAAACGATGCTTTTGGGAAACCCATTGTCAGAACACTGGTCCTGTACAACCTTTTCTTTTTCTGAACATCTATGTATGCGTTTGGAATCTACGAAAATATATTGCTGTTATTTTTAACTAAATGGGATAATAATATAATTATCTATAGGCTACTTTTAAATGGAGATAGTGTAACACAATGATTCTTTTAAGCACTTCGGAGATCATAAGCATGAATTTGACATTAGGGCCTGCTTTCATTTTATCAACAAAAAAAAAAGTAACTTAAAGGTGAACCTAAAAATGAATAGCCGAGGTACGAGGGTTACCTGTCCACTGTCCTTTCCAAGCGTGCGTGTGAGATTTCGTTGACTTCATCCACGGGAATGGCAGATGGTATCTGTTCCGATCCCCGCACAGGTCAAGAGAGTCTCCATAACCGCCGAGCGTCTGTAGAGATGTCTGAGGAGTCTGGGGAAGGTGAAGATGAGGCCCTGTCAGATCATCCCGGGTCGACATGTTATACGAAGTAATGTCGGTTAGATTTGGCTGGTCCTGGCCGCCCAAGGACGATGAGGCGTAGACGGACTGAGTCTGTCTCATATACAGACACGGTGGAGGGTTTTGGCTGTAGTCTTCGTTGGGGTGTCTCTGGAAGGCGCAAGAGTCCTTGTACAGATGGTTAGGAGGGTAATAGTGCTCTTCCCGATTCATGATTGCCACAGACCGGGGAAACCGTGCTGTACACGAGCACATGAGCCAGTGCCCTGCCCCTGATCAGGACCTCTGCTCTACCTGCAGTCTGAGCGTCTGGCGCCGTTCGAGGGCCTCATAGGTGTGCCACCGTGAACATGTGACCCTGCTGCACCATTGGTTTCACTGTTTACACAAAGCTGTCAACTGGCAGTAGATTCTGTACGTGTTTCCTTTCGACTGCCCCGCGGTTTGACAATAATTGAACAGAACCGGCCATGCTCAAATCAATGCCCTTGGCAAACACTCTCTGTTTGCCTGCGACTATACGTGCTACACCTGCAGTTGTTAGATTCTACTGCAAAGACAGGTGAATCGGGGAATCCGTACCTCTGCTCTTTTTAATGAACACCGAACGGGTAAAAAAGGAAAAAGGGACTTAAAAATGCAGAATTAAAAAAAAAAACATTCCCAAGTTGCTCAAATTCTCTTCATCAACTTCCGATAGAGGAGAGACTGGCTCGATTCTCATTTAGGCTATCAGAGGCAAAATCATCCAGACTTGTCTGAGCTTGATTGTCTTCAAGTAAAAACAGAATATGACAACAAAGCAACGACACTCTTAAATATAAAGGGTCTTTATTATGGTTCTATTAAGAATATTTAACGTCCATGGAAACTTTCTATTGCACAAAAGGTTATTTAGAGAGAAGGTCTTTAGACTTTTAAAATATTCTTTGGAAAATGGGGAAAAATGGTTCTTTCAAGAACTGTTCACTGAAAGTTTCTTTAGGGAATTATGGAATCCAAAATGGTTATTCTATGGCATCGCTGCGGAAAAAAATTATAATAAAAGCTACTACTTTTGGAAACTGTTTTTAAGAGTGTAGCGGGCTGCGAAATGGTTGGGGATCTAAAAAGGGCATATTCATTATATGTGTACATATACAGTAAGGTACTTTTAACGTATCGATAAAATATTAAGTTATTCCGAACGCGCATTTTCACCTGTGGCGGAATAGGCTATAGGTTAAGATAGAAGTCTCGTAAAAACAGCGCGTGTGCGTCTGAATGTACAGATTAAGAGGCACCATTAAGTCCTTGTTACGTAAAATCTATGGACACTGGTGGTGACAAGGACAATCATTACACACACCTCTCAACGTTGTCCGTCTTTTGCTTTAACCAAGCTTACCTGCCATTAAGCACACACGTCCACGGTCCATTAAACTAAAGTTCTGCTGACTAAATAAAAACGAGCTGTTCGGTGTAAACGAATTAACATGGAGAGTGAAACAGAACTCAATTAGAAATGTGTGCGCAAAGGCAGTCCGATGTTTGGAGAGGCAAGATCAAGAGAGAAATGGGCAGCATGAAAAGGTGATTTTCAATTAGTGGAATTTCCCAAGTATCATATGTTAAAGCAACAAAAAAAAAATATTTCAAAAAATAAATAAAATGAAATAGATTAAGGCGTTTTATTGTATTTCCAATTTTTCTTCATCGAAATTAAATTAGCTAGAATTTTTCTTTTTTTTTTAATTTGTCCCCCAACTGTTTTAACTTAATACATTTGTAAAATTATATATATATATATATTCATTTTATTCTTTGACCAATTATTTTCCCAGAAATCCATCAGAACATCAATTTGACTCGTTTGCATAAACTAAATACATTTTTAAAAGTTTAAGACAAAGGACATTTAAATCATTATTCCTTAGTACAACCTTGCATTTGCCAAGACTTCAAAAAGTGGCAAGTTAAGAACCACACAAGCACACACACACACATACATACATATATGTTTCACTATATTCAAGCAAATTTCGAGTAATTCAGACTATAGGCCTATGGCATAGTTCTGTGTTTGCATGGACCTCTTCAAATAACAATAATGGCACTTTCTCTCCTATCTTAATGGGGCTCTCATACGACATCATAAAATTCAGGTAAACCCATTCCTCGCAAATCAAGCCTTGTAAAGACGCTTAATGGTGTTTATATGACCTCGTTTGAAAAGGGAAGGAAACCGTTATCCGCGACTATTTTTACAATGTTGAAAGAGTGCAAAATGTTTTATGAAGCGTGAGTGAGACGACGCTATTTGAAAGCATTTCCATGGAACGTTATGAGAGGGATAATGGTGTAAAGTGATATGTAATGTAGCTTTGCCATGCTACAGAGGAAGTACACAACTTAAGGCACTGGTACATAAAATCGGCTAGCAATTAAAATGCGTTTTGAGACTTCAGATAAAACGCAATAAACCAGTTAGGAGACACGCAAAAGCGTTCTGAA